TAGAAGGAAATAAGATAACTGCTAGAAAGAACAATGGGAATGTTTGCTAGAGGAAATGTTGTGCTCCAATAAATTATCTTTAACGAAGAGAAACAGCCAATGGGGCAGTTTACTTAGCACAATGGAAAAAGGTGTAGAACCTGGTGTACATACTTGGAGTAGGATCTACAAGAGGTGGCGAAAATTGAATTTTTTCCAAATTATACTCTAGTTTGAATTAAAAGTAACCTAGTGCCACGGAAAACGGCAGTCTGGACAACACCAAATTTATCACCAAATTATGAGACATTAAACCAACGAAGCACTGACCTGTGCGCTTCAAGTAAGTGTCCACTCACACATCAGATGCTACGTAAGAACTATTTTAGACTTACATTCCAACTAACTCATCTAGTTGGTCTTTCGAGTCCGCTGCTGCACGACGCAGGCGAGTAACCTAGGCTTCAGCTTTTTGGACCCTTTCCGAACCACCTGATAGCTGGAGACGCAGCTCTTTCACCTCAGCCTCTACGTCCTTCCGCTCAGCCACAGCTCGCGCGAGGGCCAACTCAGCGGCTATGATCCGTTGCTCTGGCTCACCAACTCGATGCTAAAGAGAGCAATATGCGTAAAGAAGCTCAACTCCTGTTTGAAATTGACTGGGCACCGACAAAAAAAAGACACACGATTAGTGCCCATATAAAACAGCAACGAAATGGAGTAAAGGGGGCTTTTAAAATCGTACTCTCTTACCACAAGTCTTACCCTTGACGTCTAGACCAAACTCATCGATGCCGTCATGCATCTTGAGCTGGAAGAAGCAGAAGTTTGCCATCTAAAGGAGGTCATATTGAGAAAAAACATTTACCTAGACAGCAGAGATACCCCGGTTGTCATGGCACACGAAGCCAAGACAGCTGCAGATACTGCTCTGCAACAACTCACCGACTATCTGGCAACTCTTGGGGCTCGTCTTCAATTCGACGTCTCCGGCGCATGCCTTCTCACGCCCGAAGCCACCAGCCTTGCCGGGAGTGTCGCAAGCATTCTCAAGGAGAGGGAACAGAAAGTCCAGTTGGCATGGGATTGCATAAGCAAGATGTCTGCTGAAATGGCAGCCATCAATGAAATTGAGCGACTTGAAAAGAGAGTGCAGACCACAACTCGTGCAAGGGCCAGTTCAGCAGCTCTGATCCGTTGCTCTGGCTCATTAAATCGATGCTAAAGAGAGCGATATGCGTAAAGTAGCTCAACTCCTTTTTGAAATTGACTAAGCACTGACAAAATTAAAATAATGTTGCTTGTATTAAGTCAGATGATCAGTGCATATGATTGCGAAATTCTCCTGCATTATTAAACATGGTGTCATAAAAACTATGAAGACCGAATATACACATTTACTCTCTATTGAAATCCCCGGGGTGAAACCTTTCAGCTAGAGTCAATTTTGGTCGGGAAGTCGTACCTACCAAGCAACTAATCAAGACACCTGGTGAGAACGAGTAAATTGAGGCATGATCCTACGCATCTTAACAATACCAGAGTACATTAATTACTGCATCAGCTGCAAAGTATGCAATGTCCGTGTCGTGAAGTTCAGACTAATATTTTTTTCCAAGAGTGTTCGTAGTATTTGTGCCCTAGGTAGATTGATTTCTAGCAAAAATAGTTAAAATACCAAAGACGTGTTGTGAGGTAGTTTCTCAAGGAAAATGTTTCTCTAAAAAAACAAGAGAACACGAGCAGTATTAACAATGAAGTTTGCGATTCAGTCACAGGATCAGTACGATGTTATTTTTTAAAGTTTTTTTTTGATTATTAATTCAGTGAATCAGGAAAGATCAATATGTCCGCAAAGCATTTCATGTTCGTCAAAAGGTCAAGAATTAACTATTTTTACGCTAAAGTAAAAATTATTGGTTAATTCAGAATGTACAATGAGAGGTATGAAATAACGTTCAAGTATAAAGTAACCAAAAGAAAAATATTGACTGAGAAAGGACCATACGGGTACACATCACATCATGGCTAAGCAACAATGACACATTGCTATTACTAATTGATATTTCACAAAAGAAGCAATATAACACTATGTTAGAATGCCAAAACATTTCTGTCCCTCAATGGGCATAAACGTGTGAGAAAGAAATGGATGAAAAAATTTTTGGGCAGCTAAAACGACATATAATGAACAAACTTGATACTAAAACCTTCGATTCATCAAAGGCTTACTAAAATCAAATAAACTCGGTCAGACCTTTCGATGTCTAAAAACCTGTATTCAAAGCTCAAAATGGTGATCAAATCACAACAGACTTTCTTGAAATGTCCGCCTTAGGTGTTTTAACCAGGTTTGTGATTCAGTTAAAGCCGCGAATATTTTCCCTGAGTTATTTTTATGCAGATTTACTACTTGTTCTTTTATATGAAAGCGTTAATTAAATAATTAATTTCTTTTTTGCTGTTACAGGTATGCAACATTGTTATCTTTTTCTTTTTGAAAAAAAAACTTGATTTAAATATTTAAGGGCCGTCCCATTTTGGAAGCTGTTAATGCATTAAACCTTCATTGATATTTAGACATATTTTTGCTTTAGTTTAGAAATAGTTACTGTACATTAAAACTGCGAGTTAAAACCCTTAAATAACTCATTTCTTAGGTGTGAGTTTAGGTTTTCAAAGGCCCTTAAATTAAAAAAAGGCTAAGAATGTTTTGACTTAGCCCTTTTTACGCAATACATTAATTTTGCGACTATAAAACTTTACGAAATTTGACTAAATCATATGGACAAAGAAGCCTTGCCTTTGTCAGATTTTACGTTACTGCTTCCATATTCTGTCAATGTTAATGTAGAAAGTCTGCCCATATTATGTTTCAGATGATTCAAAGCTTTTTCATGATAGCACCTTTTTTAAACGGATCAAAAAATTCATAAGAATTTTTTTGAGCATGGTTTTCCACATATGCGTGACATCTTTTGCTAAGGTAACTCCAGTTTTATCACTTTTTCTAATTTTTTCAACAATTTGATTAATTGGCCTGTTTAATCCAAAACAGTAGTGTTGAATTACCAAGTTGTAATTACTCAGCAGACGAAATCACCTAAAGTCAGGATTAGATTCATAACTGTTTTTAATTTTCTGATTAAAAATTGTTGATAGCCAATAACATTTTTTGAATTTCCTAAAGCTGTTATTACACTCATCGTCTAGATGAAAAGTTAATTTTTAGTATCATTGAAATTAAATAGAATTGGAAGGGTGATTGCCCATTTTTCGTCCGTTTTTTTGAAAACTTAATTGACATTGAACAGATTCTATGCACCTCGGTTAGGCATCAGGGTACAGCTAACGTTGACGTGAAGAAGGTGTGTATTGCGAGATATGCTATGTCTTGTTTGTTACATAATGTCCAAACTATCAACCTACACATTTTAGGGCGCGTTAGGGTCAGCAATTTGTATGCTGCCATAAAATGTTACAGTGATAGGTGTATTGTGCATATAATATAAGTATATTTATATTGAGTGCATAGGATAAATGATTCCATAACTATACAAAAATGATTCATCGCTTTCAAATAATAATAAAGCATGTGCTATGCTTGAACTGCAGCTGTAGACAGCAAAAATAATGAAAAAGTATTTAGTAAAAGTGTATAACGGAGCAAGTCAATCATATCAGCATATTGGTAAATACATTAAATGGTTTTTTAAATACAGTATTTAGCTTCATTTCTTCACATTTAGCACCTACTTGATTAAACATATTAAACATGTTTGATTACTTTAAAAAGTAACACGTAATTTACTATTGGACTGTGCTACCTTTATAACGATTGTTAATCATCTGCGTCTGATTAACTGCCTATGTTTCTCGCATGCCATTGGAAGGCAGCTACAGAGCAATAGCAGAAAATTATCGTAGTGCAGTATGCCTGCGCCCCTATAAGTCGCTAATGTAGAATACCTGAGCCCTAATAGGAAGAAGACCGGTAAAACAGAATGGCTTTATTGACCAATCAGAAGCCAGAGACACGCGTCAGGCGCCTTCCATCCGAGTCCACCACGCTGGCCACGTCGCTCATTATATACTGCATCTCATCCATGTCCTTCTCTGGTTGGCTGCCTTCCTTTCTCGCATGCCATTGGATCGCAGAGGGACACGGGATTGGCTGAGGCCAGGTGGTCCAATATGTCTGCGCCCTCATCCGACGCCACACTGCCTCCCCCTCAGCAGTGAAGCTGTCCTCAGCTTTTGGCTTGGTTCACCGCACTGTTGCTGATATCCAGTGTTTGTAAAATATCCAGTTCGACACTTCCCGCACCGCACATCTGGCAGGTTAGTGGCCCATGCGAATGGTTGACGAGGGACTTTGCTCTTGTAGACTTGCAGGAAGGACTCATCATCCATTGAAGGTCCATTCGCAGATGCAGTCCAGCTGGCTTTCACTGTCCAAATCGTCGTCGCTGAGTTGCCAATGCCTCTTCAGACGCAGTAGTCCTAATCCCGGGCAATGTCTATGGATCCAATTGTTTGGGACATCGGATGAACGCCATGACAAATTCAGCTGGCATTTAAGGGTCTTCGCCTCTGTTGACCATAGAAGATAAAGGGCTGGGGTTCGATTCGCGTTTTTCGAACGCATCCGCTGCCACCAATGTAGAATACCCGAGCCCTAATAGGTAAAAGACCGGTACAACAGAACAGGCTTTATTGATCAATCAGAAGCCAGAGACACGCGTCAGGCGCCTTCCATCCGAGTCCACCTCGCTGGCCACGCCGCTCATTATATACTGT